GTGGCCGTGGCCCGCCTGGCAGCAGGCAGGGAAGTGCTGACCTGGCGCTCCGGCTCCTCCTGGCAGCCCTCTCCTGCCGACGACGCTGCCAGCTCTCCAGCGGCTCTGTCCTGCTCCAGTTTTTCTCACCTGCTTCCTCAGCCTCTTACTTCCCGCTCACAGCTCCGGGGCTGCTGCTTGGCACGGGGCACCCGGCGGGGTGGGCGGCAGGGAGCAGGTGAAAAGTTCCAGAGGGAAAGGGCCGCCCTGCACCCGCACCCGGACTGAGCCTCCAGGGCTCTCTTCCCTGTGCCGGTGAGGGGAGCAGGTGAAAAGTTCCAGAGGGAAAGGGCCGCCCTGGGGGCCAGGAGGGGCCGCCCGTCAGCTCCTGTACCCACACCCGGACTGAGCCTCCAGGGCTCTCCTCCCTGTGCCGGTGAGGGGCCGTGTGCCCAGCCGTGCCCGGCTCCGATGGGTCCGGAGGAGGCTTGCTGCAGAGCCCGTGGACCCTGGCACCAGCTCTCCCCCTGGGCCGCCCCACCCAGGCCTCCCTGAGCTGATTCTGAGCTGCCTCAAGCACCCTGCAGCTGGGTGAGCCTGGAGTCCGGGCACCTTGGCCTTCTTCCCCTAAAGGGCTGTCTTCCCCCCTGTCCCAGCCTTCGAGGGCCCCACCCCCAGCGGCCGGGCCCTCAGCGCTGGCAGCTGCAAGAGCTCCAAACTGCCGACGGTGGCATTTGGGAGCGTTTCCCTTGCCTGGGCACTTTCCTTCTCCCAACCTCACCACAGCCCGGGGCGGGTGTGACTGGTGCCGACTGTGGCCCATTTCCAAGTTGGAAAGCACGGCACATCGGGGCGGGGCGGGGGTCTGTCTGGGAAGACCCCGGTCACACTTCCTCCTCTAACCCCAGGGCCAGCACGTAGTAGGAGCTCCTGCTGTGGCCTGGAGCTCAGGTGGCATCCCTCCCCCATGCTTATAGCCATGCCCCCCAGGTACCCAGCCTCACCTCCCCGGCCCTGTGGCGCCCACTGCAGCCGGCCCTGCCCACGGCCCCTGGAGGCTGAACGCGGTCTCCCAAGCCGCTTCTCTACCCGCCCCATCAGCACCATATTGTCCCCATCGTGGGGAGGAGAGCAGAGAGCATATGCTTGGGCTCTGAGCTCATTTACATAATGAGGCTGATCAGGATGAATAATTCATCAGGTGCCTGGGGGTGCAGGGGGGAGGAGGCGGAGCCGGCCAGTCTCCCCCCTCTGAAGCCCATGTCCCTCCCTCCGATGGATACAGCCAGGGAACCACCCCCTCTGACCGGGTGTCCAGGGGAGAAGCAGCGGGGCAACTCTGTAGAATAGAAGAGCCTCTATTGGGGGTGGGGGTCAGAGGGGAGGGAAGGCCGCTGGGCAGAGGGGGTGGGAGCAGAGAGCTGGGATGGCCACATCGGGGACCACAGGCCACCCTCTGGAAGGCTCAAGCCAAGCCTGGGTCTACGAGGCTCTTTCTCAGGTGACATAACTCCCCCATACCTGGTCTACTGGTCGGGGCAGAAATGGCGGAGAGCCCTGCCCATCTCTCTGACCACCTCAGCCCACATGAGGCCGTAGCCCGTGGTCCTGACATACAAATGGGGAAGCCAAGGTCCTGGCCAACTCTCTCCACCAGCCAGACCCATCCTGGAGCTTCACCAGGCCCGTCCTGAGTAGGGGTGGGGCTGGGCAGAGTCTCAGGGCAGAGGTGCAGGCCCGGGGCCTGCCTGGAGGAGGCCCCCTGGACTGCTGAGCCATGTCCACAGAGAGCAGGACCCCTCCCCGCTGTGTGCTCCTCTGGACAGTCCCGGCGGTTCAGACCAACGGGTGCCTGCACCCCCACTCCTTTGGGTACCAGGGATGGTCCTTCGGAGCCTGTGCTGGCGCCGCCGTCCCCGCCCATCTTGCCTGCCTCCGGCCATCCCGCGCAGTCTGCTCAGTGCTCCCTGGGAATGTGTAATTAATATTTGCAACGCGCCACATCTGGAGCTGGCTCTGGGCGAGGACCGGAGTCTGGCTGCGTCGAGGGCCCCCTTTCCTGCGGGGCTCAGAGAGACTGGATGGGCCCCGTGTGGGTTCCTTAGAGACCAGCCTCCCTCCCCCACCCACGCTGGTGCCACCAACTCCTGGAGCAGGTGCGCACTCACGCACCCGCTTAGGGTCGCTGGCCCAGGCTGGCTCAGGGGCGCTGGCCCAGGCTGGCTCAGGGGTGCTGGCCCAGGCTGGCTCAGGGGCGCTGGTCCAGGCTGCGGTTAACACCCCCTCCCATTTGGGGAGGGTCCTGTCTCGGCCCCTGGGCCTCTCAGACGGAGTTAGCAGGGTCTGAGAGTGCCGGCCAGGGAAGCTCCGAACCCCATCAGGGCCCAGGGCTGGGGCAGAAGAAGAGGCAGGAAGCGGGTGGGGGAGGTGCAGGGGGCAGAAGTAGCCCTGGAGGGTCAGGAAAGGGAAGCCGGATGACCCCAGACCCCACAGCTGGTTCATCAGACGCTGTGGTTCCCCTGCGCCCCAGCAGACAGGCCCGCAGCTCCTGGGCCCGGCAGACCTCACACAGGCCCAGCATGGTTCCAGCTGATGTGCAGAGGCAGGTGGGGGTGAGGGAGCCCCCCATTCCCCCTCTCACCCCCACCCGTCACAGTCCCTCCTCCCCAAAGCTCCCAGAAGCCTCCGCTGTCCTCGGGCCGCGTGCCTGCTCCTCCTGCAGCCCCCGCTGCCCGCCACCTCCCAGCGAGACCCAGCGGTGCCCTCGCTCTCCTGGCGAAGACCATCTCGCGATGTGCGCTGTCGGGTGGCAGCGGTGGGGGTGCGGCTGTGAAATATGCTGCTGGGTAGGGATTGCTGCTGCTCGCCTCCCTAAAAACCCACATATATTATTCTTTAATGGAAAGTTAATTGTCTTATTATTCCCTCCATATGGTCCTCCTGCTCAGCACCCAGCGGGGATGCACGGGCCGAGGGGGCTCCTGAGAGGGCGTCTGAGGCGCGGTGAGGCCTCCACGTGAGCAGAATTGGATACAACAGGCAGATACACGGGAGCCGGCCGCAGCCTGGCCCGGACCCCCTCTGCGTCCCCCAGCCCAGCCTGCTCCCCACCGCCTTCCTCCCCAGGCTCCTCTGCCTCAGCCCCTCCATCACCGCGTGGGGAGACGGGGAGGTGGGGATACGCAGGCTGGTCGTTGCCCGCCCGCCTGCCGCCCCCATGCGCTCCCGTCGCCTGCAGGAGAAAACTCCATTTCTGAGAAGGTTTTTAAAAGCCGATTCAGCCGTGGCAGGAGCTCCTGCCTCAGGGCCAGCGCACTGGCTGGGTCTCCGCTCCCCACCCAGAGAGGGGGTGCGAGAGGTCATTGTGGGGGAGCGCTGCCTCCAGACGCC